CAATGGTTTTGAAAGAAACTAGACTGTAAATGGCACAGTGAAGCAATTGGGTTTTTGTTCTGTTTTGGTCTAGCATCAAGCACAGCGTGGTCCCAGTCAATGGCTGTAATTCTTGGCAAGAACAACGATTATTAAGGGTTTACAAATTAATAGCAATTAAAGATGAGTAGAAGTTACTAATGGTGCCTCTGTTCATTCTGGGCTTTGCTCATGGTGCTTGGAATATATTAATGTAATATTCTGAATTTGCTAGTTGTCTCCCACATGTCTGCATTGTCCTTCTCTCTCCACTTTCTGTTTTTCAAAACATATGAGACTCCATTTGTTGGACAGTAAAAGAGGGTCCCTTCTGGGACCTCCTGGGGGAATTTTACATTGCTGAACCAGAGAAAAGAAATTAATCTTCTACAGGGACTTGACAGAGGGAATGATCTCTGCAGTCCACTGTCATGGTGCCTGTTTTACCTCATGTTCTTCCACCCCAACCTGCTGCCTTCAGGGTGTGTGTCTCCCAAATGCCACAACCTTGGACTTCCATAGTCCAGGACAAAGATGTTTTAAGTGTCTGTGCATGTAAGACCTGGGAGTCCTGGTGGACAAAAGGATGCCCATGAGCCAGCAATGTGCCCTTGTGGCCAATGGCATCCTGGGGTGCATTAAAAAGACCATGACCAGCAGGTGGAGGGAGGTCATCCTCCCCCTCTGCTCTGCCCTGGGGAGGCTGCATCTGGAGCACTGGGTCTGATTCTGGGCTCCGCAGTTCAAGGAGGACAGGAAACTGCTGGAGAGGGTCCAGCAAAGGGCTACGAAGATGATGAGGGGACTACAACGTTCCTCTGATGAGGAAAGGCTGAGGGACTTGGGTCTTTTTAGTCTGGAGAAGAGAAGACTGAGGGGGGGGAATCTTATCAATGCTTATAAATAGCTAAAGGGTGGGTGTCAGCAGTGGTGCCCAGTGATGGGACAAGAGGAAATGGGCACAAACTTGAACACAGGAAGTTCTATCTAAATATGAGGAGGAATTTCTTTGCTTTGAGGGTGGCAGAGCCCTGGAACAGGCAGCCTAGAGAGGTGGTGGAGTCTCCTTCTCTGGAGACATTCAAAATGCACCTGAACACGTTCCTGTGCAACCTGCTCTGGGTGGTCCTGCTTTGGCAGGGGGGTTGTGGTTCTGTAAGTTTGTCTATGAGTGCACCTGGAAGAGGCTCACAAAGTTACAGGCACAGATTTTCATCCAGACCAACCCTGGGTGGGCAGCTGTGATGTTGTCATTTTGTCTGGTGTGTATGATAGATTGTGTGCCACAGGCACAGATTTTCATCCAGACCAACCCTGAGTGGGCAGCTGTGATACTGTCATTTTATCTGGTATGTATGATAGATTGTGTGCCGAATTCCTACTATTACCTCTGCTTTACAGAAGCTACAGAAAGATACTACTGATTTTTTTTTTTCTGGCAGGCCTGCAAGAAGTTAGAGTGGTAGACAAAGACGATGCCCGTAAACCTACCTGAACGCAGGGAAGTTCTTTGGAAGTTTTGAGTTGATTTGAAGACACACACTGAGTTTAAGCTGGAGAAGTACTTTGTGTTGAGCGACTATGGATTGTGAAGTTGTTTTATTGTTGGGTTTTTTTTTTAAAAGTCTGTTACTAAGCTCCCAAAAAGCGTACTATCATCAAACTAGAAACTTCATTCCAGAACCATCAAACAACATCTTGAGAGATTCTGTGTGAGTCTGTTATCTGTGTGTTTGTGTGCTTATTCCTATGCACCCATTGATTCTTCCTGGTGGGACAAGAAGCACAGCTTCAAATGCTGCTCCTGTCCCAAATGACACACAGTTGCTTCAATTCAGTATAGGTCTACCTACATACATACATACTTTTCTTTCTTCATTTCTCCTGTCTTTTATCTTTGGCATGCATCATAACTCTCCTGTGGCACTTTTATTACAGGAAAGTGAAGGAATTCACACAACAGCTAGTTCAGAAAAACAGACGCTTCTGGATTTATAAATGAAAACATTCATTTTGCTGTTCTGCAGGGCTTTTGACATATTTCAACAGCTTCACCAGATAAACGGGAGAAGAAGGATGGATGGACATAGGCTACGTAAGAAGCTTTAGGGAATCCAAAGAATTTTCAGTGTTAAATAAAACTGGGAAAAAATAGCTCCACTGTATCAAAAGACGTTTGATGAATTTATAGTTCATGTTGTCTACGTTTTGCAGTGTCGTTACATCTCTGCACAAATGCTCATAAATATATTTAAGATCAGGGTCACATAATCAGATATTAATTCTACCAGTAAACCTGAATTCACGGGTATTTTCACATCGTTACCACTCAAAAAACAAAATCAGATAAGAAACCTATTTTACCTTGGGTGGGGCTTTATCTTGGTGGGCCCAGGAGGGGGTGAAGTAGTTCACGGGCAGTGTCTATAAAGTGATGGTCTCTGTGAGCAAATCAGTCCAGTTTATGAGCTGAATAGGATGAATCTCATCCATAAAAACTCAAAACAAGACTTACAGAAGATATGCATATTTCTGATGCCTAGAACATCACAAATGACAAACCACATCACCATTCAGGCCACTGAATTGAGCTCAAAAAGCCTGTCCCTGAAGCAGTTATTTAGGATCATTTTATTCTCAGTGGAGGGAAAAACCAGCCTTTCTAAAGGCCAATCAATCTCATCGTAAGAGCACAAGCTATGAAAAACCAAATGAGTCAGGTGAGAAAAATTAATCCTGAAACCAGTTCTGAGAACTGCAGATTCTCTGGGGAATGGCATTATGAGGGAAATAAGGTGTAATTTTGACAAGTTTGGCTGAAAACAAAATAAATCTGGTCATAGAGGAAAAGGTTGAAAATCCAAAAACGTTTCATTTCAAAATAATACAGATGGATGCATTTTCATTTTTCATTCCAAGACAGTAATTAATTACTTGAGTTTAAAAAATAGTTTTTAGAGTGATCAATAACTTAAAAAATGAGCCGGAACATATCATTAGGGGGCAAAACATTTTTAATTGCCTCCCCCCTAGATTAAATTATTGATGTATTTATTTGTTTAGTTGCTTGTGGACAAGGCTGAAAAAATATTACGGTATTCACTTTCCCTTTGGCTTCTGCATCAAAAAAATCCAGGCTGCACCCCCTGCTCTAATCCAGGCTTGGGTGGGTTTAAGGAGAGGGTAATGAAATGCCAGCCAATATCCTCGCTCCGTCTGAAACCCCTTCTTACAGGACTGGGTGTCGCAACGCGAGTTGCTGCTGGAATGTACTATGTAATTCTGGCAAGAAGTCAATAGGCTTGAACTCCTCAAATAACCAAAGCATGGTACGAAGGAATCAGTGGAACAGGCAGCAGCCCAGACAGCCAGTCCATTAGCAGCTTAACCACAGCAGATGTAAAGTCACCAACAAAACTCCCTACGGAGTCTCCCAAAGAGCCAGATGCTACTGCTATAAAAAGACCTTCCAGAAACTTGGCATGTCTCCTGCCCACATTTTTTTTTTTTTTTAAGAAACATTCTCTAGATAGGAGGTTATTTATTTAATTTGTTTTTTAAATTTGGGGTTGGGGTAAAGGACAGGAGGAGGGGA